CATTTCAATAAATTTTTTATTTTCAACAACACGAAATGATTGCTGGTCCAAAATTATCCAACTAATTAAAGCTATATTACGTTCTTTTTTTTGCTTTTCGGGCCATGGATCTTTACAGGTAAATATTAACTTTGATTGATGAGTTTTAACTCGTGGAACTATAATGTTATATTGGCTACTTAAATGTTTTTTCAAAGTTGAGTTTCCAGATTTATCTAAAAATTCAAACTTACATTTATCACAAATTAGGTTATTTGGTTTGTCAGATTTAAAATAAAAGTATTGCCACAAAGGTGATGGCTTTTTTGATGAAATTATATTTGTTGTCTCTGATGTTAAAATAGTGCTTGTTTCAGATATTGATGATGGTGAACTAGTATTTATTTCTAATGCTGGAGATGGTGAACTAGTATTTGTTGAAGATAGTAATTCGCTATATAGAATATAATCTTCATAATTATAATCGTTGTATTCAAAATCTTCATAATTATAATCTGAATCTGGTTCAGAATTCATATTTAATAATGATGATGTATTGAGTAATTTCACAATACAACTTTTACAATATATATATAGTGAAACATTTCTAAGTAAATCTCTATAACCTTTCTAAATATGCACTCAAATCAGGTCTAAACATATTCTTAACCATCATAATTGCACTTCCTATTGTTCTCTAAATGTATACTGTATGTGTATTTAAAAGATCTAACTATATATATAAACAATTGTATTATATATAAGAATTAATTTACTGTAATAATGCTGTTTTCGTAGTGAATATTTCTGGTTTTTTTTTAGAGTGAGGCCTGGCATTGGTCTTTATTGAATAACATTGTTTAATTAGGTTGCATGAATTATTACAGAAACCTACAGCTAGGATTACTTTATCCTTAGTTCAAAACTTTGCTAGAGTGAGCTACATGGCCTCTACTAGATTTAGTTTAGTTATATATTACAAAGCTTATGCATCTGATTGTATAAATTTTTATAATCAGTGAATTTCTGTAAATAGTGAATAAAAAGAGTTGTAGTTAGAAACATGTATCTATGAATTTTATCGTTAACATATGTATCAAAGCTTTTTGTACTTACTCATTTTGTAGAAATAAGCTAACAGCTAACTTATTATATATGTATTATGCTCTATTTTATAATACAAAATCCAAGTAACAATTATGTAAAATTATTAATTGTAGCTACGTACATATAATGAGAATTAGTTCTTGTATTGCTACGTATTATAGCTGCAGTCTAACTATCAAATATGAGGTCTTTTTACTGTCTACATATATCCTGTTTGATTGTTGATAGAATTTCATACATACGCATATATATAGCAATAGAATCCTTTGACAAGATACAAAATTGCATAATACATGCATGCTACATTGATAAGCTTGTCAATGAAATAATGTAGCATTCATTATTGCAAGATCAGAAGGCTTTATTGCAGATTACATATTAATTGTTATGCTGTAGTCTTTTATGGTCGTGTTCATTATAGTATTGTTTCTTGTTGAATACAGATTTTGTGAGATAAATTCATGATTGCATATGATCGTCTTAATTGTTTTCTTGGAATGTTAAATAACCGGTATATAGTAAGGAATAGTAGTATCAGTTAAAGATTATGATTACGTATGTAAATACATAGTAAGTTTAGTATGATGTTAATGCATATGAAAAGTAGATTTAGTATTATGATTACGTGTGTGTAGTAGAGCTTTGACCTGGGTCACAGATCGAAATTGCTCTAACCCGAGTCAAACGGGGCAGAATTCAAAATAGGTAAAAACACCATATTGTGCAATTTAACCAATATATAAAATAATTTACTATTAACTGGCCAGTACGGATCCGAAACTTGGTTTGTCTAATCTGTGTTACAGTAATTTCCTTTTGATATTTCAGCCTCGACCGCAGCTGAAATAGTTGTGCCCCGTGAAATTACTTTTCAACACCCAATCTTTCTTACGTAATCTTCAACTTAACACAACGCGAATTCGAGTTTTGTTCAGTTATTTTTAGCTCAACACAAAACGGATTCGGCTTTTGTTCTGTAGTTATTTTTAGATCCTTTTGACTTAGCACAATGCAGATTCGAGTTGTGCTCACTTTATTAATTTTTTTCTTAACACAACACGAATTTCGGCTTTTGCTCTTCTTTGTTCAATCAGCATACTATTTCTTAACACAAGCCAACTCTCGGCTTTTATTCACTCCACACAACTGGCACCAAGATGTCACGACCAGGGGAGAGACTTTATATCGGCTGAGCCAATTTATCTTAGGGTTGTAAGCATAAAAATAAGGAACCAAGTATTTATTATCACACGCAAGACACCAAGAATACAAAGAAATATGAGCGATACAAGTAAGTATCTTCCTATTGAGTGCACCCAGTACACAAATATCCTCTGAAATATCCCTTGTTCCCACTCACAAAACTAAACTAACTACACTTAAGAGAAAGACCCCGAACTACGACCTAAGCAACTATCTCTATTTATATACAAATTATTGAACTACATACTACTACGTAATTATGGGATATCAATATAAAAGTCTAATTAAAGTAATCTCGTGATTACACTAAACTATAAGGTTACAAAAAGCTTATTTACAAATGTGCCGTTATTTTTCATCACAATATCTTAAATGAGACATATTTCTAGTTCAAATCTAAAAATAAACTCTTTAAATACGTTCTAATAATTTAAATTTTTTATTTCTTTCATAAAAAATCAATAGTACAATAGTTACAGGATTCGTCATTGTCAATTCGTTAATCAGAAATGCCTTGATGAAATGTTTCGTCATTCGTCAATGACGAATAGCGAATCATTCGTCAGGTATTATTAGTCATCTGACCTGTGCAGGTTAGCTTCATGGTCCAAAATTGGCTTGTTAAAATAAGTAATCCATATTTCCCAAAATAGGAAATAAACAAATTCAAATCACAAACAAGGTCAAGAGATCTTTAATATAAAATCTGAAAATTTTCATTTAAATATTTGGAGTACAGACTGCTCTCTATGCTAATAGCTCTAATTAAGAGCCGTTACATCAACTTTTAAGGATTAACTTTAAAAACTTCATGAATTTCTGTTTGACCCATTTGACCCGAGTCGTGACCCGAGTTAATACATGCCCCGTCCGGGTCAGTATTTTCTGACCCAGGTCAAAGCTCTAGTGTATAGGAGGGGAAAAGGTGCTTAGCCAGGTTGAGTGCTATTTAAGAATTTAATTAATTTTGGTTTATTTATTATAGTTATTATTTTACTATATTTATTATATTAATTATCACATTAACATTATGTTAATAATCTATCTATCATAAACCTAAGAACTTAAAAACCTATTACGAACCTAAGAACCTACCATGAATCTAAGAACCTATCATGAACCTAAGAACCTATAATGAACCTAAGAACCTAGGTTCCAAAATTGGAACCTGGTTTTTAAAAACCAGGTTCTAAAACCTGATTCTAAAGTTCTGAACCTAGGAACTTTACCATCCCTATATGTAGGTGAGGCAGATAATATATGTTTGTATATTATGGTCCGTTTTGAAGGGTAAAAGGTAGAGTCGATAAAATTAAACTCTCTAGCAGCTTGATTGGAATTATAATTTACGATTATTAATTCACTTTTTCTTGAAGACTTTGTCTTTTCTTCAAGCTTACACTTGACCGCACGGTTCATGTGCTAGGAACATAATTATACTTTTGAAACATCCCACACACTGAAGATAGCATTGATTTCAGCAAAGTCTTTGTCAGTAAATACAAAATTTGGATTTATATTGTACGACTTTATGGCTTCCAGAAAGCTAGTTAATATATTGGTGCACTTTCCCGTCGTATTTATTGCCTTTAATGTATCCATTATGAGGTAAGCAATTGGGAATCCAGTCCCTTAACATTGGCAACAATACTGTAAAGCTCATATCACCCATGTGCTGTTTTATAAGTGGCGTCCATAAATATTTCAGTTATATTAATATTAAAATTATTAATTTCTTTTAATAGAGGTGTAACGAAGGCAAGGGCTATAGACTCTGCATCTTGTATTTCTAAGCACTTATAAAAGTCCTGGTTTTCATATTCATTAAGTAGTTTACAACTAGATTCAAACGGGTCGTTATGACGTTGGTACAGATGTTTCCCTGCTTTAGACTTCCAGTAATGTATATGTTTATGAGAGTACTTAGACATATCGAACCCTTTGCGCTGCAAATAGTTCATCAATTCAACCATAGGAAGGTGCGCATATGTTCTAATCTCTTCTAATAGTTTACCCAACATCTTAATACAGGGGTTCAGACATGGATGATGTTCATAGCTAATATTTACTTTTACAACACCAAGAACTGTGTTAACTCACATTACGACTTTACCTCTACAGTTATAACGTGTACATCGTTTCCTGTTGGAATCTTTGAATTCTTCAATTTGGGCTTCTTTAGACTAGCAACATAACTAGGTAAATCTACAAACTGTTTCTCCGAACTTTTTTGATATATTCGTTTCTTGATATCTATAGTAATAAAGAGAAAGATAGAAATTGAACAAGGAAAGGATAAGAGGAAAAAGAAGAGAGAAAATGAAACGGTGATAAGCATTTAGTAAATAATCAAATATGGATTAAAGCTGGAGATTGGATATTAAAATTTTAATTTTTAAAATTTTGGATTTTATTTTTTTAAATTCGAATTTAAAATTCGAATTTTAATATAAAAACTAGAATTTGTTGAATTTAAAATCAAACATTTAAGCATGATTACGACAGATTATACTTACATCCATATATAATCGTCTCCTCCTTCGATTTCGGTAATCACAAGGCTAGCGATTTCTTTTGCTGCCATGTTTTGAGAATCAATGTCCATATTTACTAATAGATGTATTTGGTAAGATATATTTTCTCCTTCTTTAGTGCCTTTACTTGCCGTTAGCTTTTGAATCTTATCCGCGACGAAGTCTCCAACTTCAAGATAATCGATCTCACTATATGCATTATTAGCAACATGTTCTGTCTCTTGATTAATAGTTTCAAATTGAGCAACTGATTCAGCATTTATAGGATTCACGGTTTGGGCAGCTGATTCAGCATTGGTAAGGCTCTGATTTTTTTTTTTTGTTCTGTCACAATGTTCTTTACACTTGAGACATGTATTGTGTCTAACGCCATCCCAATTAAACAGTTCCTCAGGACAACAGGTATCACATTTAGAACATCTCTTTATTTTTAATTCTGGCTGATTTACGAATTGGGACATAATTAATATATAATTTATAATTTTTTTTTAAGAATTTTAAGAATTTTTCTTTTAGATACATATTACTTGGATACATGATGAGATATGATGATATTTATACGAATAATCAAAGTAAGTTGATATATACAAAGATTATATGTTTTTAATAACGGAAGGGATACAGATTGACACGTCTCAAGATTAATTTCAATTTATTTTTATTTGAATTAAATGCACAGCATATATAAATTAA